AAATTTACTGGCTCATTTTTGAAGAATAGTGCTATCATAAATATTTGTTAATTTCAGTCAAAGTGGAAATCCTACGTCTTTCAAACAAAATATTAGGTAGTCATTCATAAGTTAAGAAGCTAGTCAATGGATTATGTATTATTGCTACAGGGTCAACCGTCTATGACCTGAAGTTTACATTTTTGTGCTAAGGGGCTCCAGCAAGGGAACTGAAATTGGGAGTTCCTGCCCATCTTTGCTCTAAACTGGGAGTGAGCAATTCAACACCTTCCTAGCATAAAAGGAGTACTTAATCCATCAAATTTCTGAATGTAATATGACAGATATACCATAGCTTTCCCCGCCAACCCTTTGAGGTACTTGGGGGTTAGACGTAATTGTTATCACTTCAACCGCTCAACGCGCTGTCGCCTATGAGTGAAGTCTACCTATGTCACATTCAAAGATAGATTGAAGCTGAAGAGATTAATCCTAATCAATATAACTTGTAGCTCCTTACCCTTTGCAGACTGTAAAATACAAGCTTTTCAGAAAGAACAGCCTTGGTTGCTATACCCCAAAACCTAGAAAGGGATTGTCATGTTTATCCTGTAAGAAAAAACATTTTCTGTGTATATTTCTGGCTTTGCAATATCAAGAACTATTCATGCTGCTGTTACGGCTGTTGGGTCTTATCCTCTAGATCAAGACCAATCAATCGGTTTGATAAGACCATTGACGATAAGTCTGACGTCTATAGACTTCCTGATATATAAGGACAAGTCTGTCTTCTGGTTCTGAGATGCACTACCCCCTTCTTAAGGCAAGTAGGATCAAGCTGAGTGTTGAGTTGTAGAGAATAAGGTATATTCAGCTAGGTCAAGCTGAGACTATCTACTACATTGTGGGGTATATATACAAGGCTCAAAGAAGCATGATGAGTAATGCTTCGAAGAGGGATAAGTGCTATTGGTAAGTATAAATATGGTGCTGAGTAATGATGTGAAAGATGGATGTAATAATAGAGTTAATGGGAATGAAATGAAGAGTAAGGGGATATAGGAAGAAGAGATAGTCCGAAGATCAGATTATGCGAGATACAATGATAAGTAAAGATAGAAAGATAAGGAGAAAAGTATAGTCTGGAGGGAGAAACTGTAACATTACCCCCCTTCTATCTTCGAAGCATCCCAGCTTTGAAAGTTACTCTCCGTCCATGTTGTGGTCACCCTCTTCTCCAAAGAGGTAGTTGTTGTAGTTGTCATAGAAATCCTGTCTGGTGTCTTTATCTCCTACTGGCATGCATTGTCTATTTGGTGGCGGAGGTGTATTCTGTGTGATGTTGACATTCCAAGGCGGTTGGACCAGGCAATTTCCCCATTTCCAGTTGATAAACTGGCCGTAGG